CGCCAAGACATTACCACCACCATGCTTCACTGATGAGGTGGTATGCTTAGGATCATGAGCAGTTCCTTTCCTTCTCCATACTCTTCTCTTCCCATCACTCTGGTACAAGTTGATCTCGGTCTCATCTGTCCATAGGATGTTGTTCCAGAACTGTGAAGGCTTTCTTAGATGTCGTTTGGCAAACTCTAATCTGGTCTTTCTGTTTTTGAGGTTCACCAATGGTTTACATCTTGTGGTGAGCCCTCTGTATTCACTCTGGTGAAGTCTTCTCTTGATTGTTGACTTTGACACACATACATCTACCTCCTGGAGAGTGTTCTTGATCTGGCCAACTGTTGTGCAGGGTGTTTTCTTCACCAGGGAAAGAATTCTTCGGTCATCCACCACAGTTGTTTTCCGTGGTCTTCCGGGTCTTTTGGTGTTGCTGAGCTCACCGGTGCATTCCTTCTTTTTAAGAATGTTCCAGTTGTTTTGGCCACGCCTAATGTTTTTGCTATCTCTCTGATGGGTTTGTTTTGTTTTTTCAGTCTAATGATGGCTTGCTTCACTGATAGTGACAGCTCTTTGGATCTCATCTTGAGAGTTGACAGCAACAGATTCCAAATGCAAATAGCACACTTGAAGTGAACTCTGGACCTTTTATCTGCTCATTGTAATTGGGATAATGAGGGAATAACACACACCTGGCCATGGAACAGCTGAGAAGCCAACTGTCCCATTAGTTTTGGTCCCTTAACAAGTGGGAGGCCCATATGCAAACTGTTGTAAGTCCTACACCGTTCACCTGATTTGGATGTAAATGAAAGCTGACAGTCTGCAGTTAAAGCACATCTTGTTTGTTTCATTTCAAATCCATTGTGGTGGTGTATAGAGCCAAAAATGTTAGAATTGTGTCGATTCTGCGAATGAATGAACTACAACTATCATCAGCCATTGCAGTTTTTAGTTCTCAATTAACTATGCAGACACTGGTGAGAGCTCTTGTAGTTCGTTGATATTCTTGTTACCTGCTCTCAGCTAACTGCCTTCCCGTATTGGAGGTAAGGGCAGCCAGCTATCCTGAGAGTCTGCAGGAGCCTGACATTGCACCCGCGATCTGCTGATCATGGGTGCAATCCTTAGAGAAAAAATAAATAAATGCACTTTTTTTTTTACCTGCAGAAAAATGTGCATTTTTTATTTTTTAAAAGGTGAACTTATTCTTTAAAGGAGAAGAACAGCCAAAGCTCTTTTAGGGGGTTTGTTCTGCACTCCTGTGACCCTTTTTCAGCTGTCAGCGGGCTGAAGTCCCTGTCAGCTGACATCACTTAGCCGGTCTAGGCTGGGGAAAGATCCCTTCAAAGTCGGGATACACCCCAGAGTCTGGAGTGGCACCTGGCTCAGCCTCTCAGTGAAGAGTTGAGAGCCTGAGCCAGCTGCTCCCTTCCCCTCCACAGCCCAGTGCTCCAGTGAGCGCTGGTGGGGGCAAAATAGACAGCGGTGACTCACAGTCACCACTCTCTTTTCAGAGCGAAGAGAACTCTGCGATCAGCAGTTATGGGATCACTGAGTTCTCACCCTTAGAGCCAATGGGGGACAGGTGCAGCATCAGACTGATGCTGCATCCACCTAGGTAAGTATAAATAGGAGATAAAAGCCCTACTTCTCTTTTAAAGTTCACAATTTGCAGACTTTTGGATGTATTTGCCAAACCTGTCTTCAAATCGAACCCAAGCAGATTTGCTTACCACTACTTATTAAAAGCAGGTTGATACATACAGCTCTATCAGGATCTAGCAACAATAGAACATGGTAACATTTTAGAAACATGGAGCTAAGTGGCAGCTTAATGGTTTCTAATGGGAGTAGATGAGTGGGGAAGACTGTACCATCTGGGTGGGCCAAGGTGAAATTTGCGTTCTTCTTTTATGTCTCTGATAAATGCGGGAAGTTCTTTTAAAATATTTACATGTAATGAAATACCTTACTTTTTTATGTTGCTGCATTCATAATTTGTAAATCTTTGGGTTTAGTTAAGATAACATTTATTATATAACTATGTATGTTTTACTTTCTAGAGTTTGGAAATCTGCTGCTACTAGTGGCAAGCCGAGGTCAGATCATCGCTGACAATATCACCACACTAGCTCAAAACATTTACTCCATAGTCCGGGATGGACGCAGTATAGTAGCCATAGATTTTGATTCTGTCACTAATCGTATTTACTGGTCAGACATAGTGCAGGATAAGATATGGAGTGCTTTTGTCAATGGAACAGACAGGCAAATTGTAAGTTATTTCTATTGCTTTTATTTATTTTTGCAGTTAATGTGGGGATGCTTATTTGGCGTTCTGTACAGGAATTTCATTGGTACTCTTATGGTAAAAACATATCCGGTTGTTAACATGGAACTATTATTATTATACAGTATTTATATAGCGCCAGAAAGTTTGCTCAGCGCTGTACAGAGTAGTGGGGGACAGTACATGAGACAATACAGTAACAAAACAGTATATGAGGGGTTCGAGGGCCCTGCTCTTTCGAGCTTACAATCTAGGATGGAGGGGATAGCGGCACAGAAGGAAGTGGCTGTTGGGGATGGAGTGGTAGGAGGAATGGAGGAGATCGGCTGTTAGGTGAGGGTGGGGTAGGCTTCCCTGAAGAGATGGGTTTTCAGGGTGCGCCTAAAGGTGAGAAGGGTAGGTGACAGTCTGATGGATTGGGGTAGTGAGTTCTAGAGAATGGGGGAAGTCCTGGAGAAGTCCTGCAGTCGGGCGTGGGAGGAGGAGACCAGGGAGCTAGTAAGTAGGAGGTCTTGTGAGGAGCGAAGAGTGCAGGTTGGGTGGTATTTGGGTATCAGGTCAGTGAGGTAGTTTGGGGCAGTGTTATGAATGGCTTTGTACGTCAATGTTAGTAGTTTGAATTTAATGCGTTGGGCAATCGGAAGCCAGTGGAGGGAATGACAGAGGGGGGTGGCAGATGCGGAGCGGTTGGTAAGGTGGATGAGTCTGGCCGCTGAGTTCAGGATAGACTGAAGCGGGGATAGCCTTACTATTCTTTGGGGGCCCATTTTACACAAATTTAGGGCAGCAGTGCATTATTGTGTGTTATCGTGCATTGTGGTGTGCTGCAGTGCATGTGTGTTGCAGCTGCAATGCATGTGTTACCTCTGTGCGCTAACGCTCTTTACCCAGTGCAAAATTGTGTTTCAGCCCTTAATTATGGATTGGTGAGAAAGGTGAGAACCTCCACCAGGTTTTTACTGTGGTCTTTGCCCTTGTTGAGGAGATTTCCTCTCATTTCCTGTGCTCACCAGGAGAAGAATCTCAGAGACACAGACAGCAGAAAAATCATTTTACAGTAGTGTGGAAAAGGGTTAGAACCTCTGTTAGACATTTTTACTGTCCATGTATCCTTAGGAAGATTATCTTCATTTCCTGTGTAGCCCACTCGGTAGGAAATTATTCTTACCCCTCCCCATTCTATCCAAATATAATGTTTTAAAAAAATGCTATTGTTCCAGATAGAAACTCACTGGTATTTTACAAGTAAACATGTATGGCGACTAACCCATTGTTGATAATTGCAGATTTTTGACAGTGGTGTCACTGTAACTGAAAGCATTGCTGTAGACTGGGTAGGACGGAACCTTTATTGGACAGATTATATTCTTGAAACCATTGAAGTTTCTAAACTGGATGGAACTCACAGAACTGTGCTGATTAGTGCGAATGTGACAAATCCACGAGGACTTGTGCTGGATCCCAGAACAGAGTAAGAAGATGTTAAAGTTAATTTTTTTTTTTATCCTTTTGTTATAGTGTATATTTTTGTTATATTTAAGTACCCCTAACTCATTTGCTGACTGGCAGCTCTCATATGTCCAGCATTTTTATATGAATTTGGAGACTTAAAAGACAGCTTCACCTTTAATGAAGTTGCCCTTTAATAAATCCCACAACCCCCAGGCTACTTAGGATAATACCTAACTCCCTCCCCAATCCATCGATCTTTCACCCAACATGGTCTTTATGGTCCCTTTTTATACTGCCCATGCTTGCCGCAATGCAATTAATTTCTTCTGGATAAGCTGTTCTTTGAGAAACTGCTGGAAGTTATCAGGAGTATATCTACCCATGAGAATTAATGAAGGGAGAGAATGAAGAGAAGTTGGCTGGAACCATGTCAGAACTAAGATCACTGGATCAGGGAGGAAGGTTAGTATTTTTCCAGGTTGTGCTAAAGGTGAAGTTATCTTTGAAGAAGTCCTCCTGTAAAAAAAAGAGTTAAAAAAGCATCTGCCTACATACAGCTGTATGTCCTTAGTTGCTCTCAGAAATAAGGCCACATTTCAACAACTCAAGTTATATTTTTGTGTGCCATATGTTGACTAAATACCTCTACTATCATCCTTGCTGCCTGAAACAGCAGTAGTCATTCCAGTTTGAATTATGCGTGTCTTCAGGCTGATTATTATATTTTGATTTTGCTTTAGAAAAAGTTTAGAAAATGTTTAGCTACAGGAAATCCTCATAATTTGTTTGCCTTTCACATGGTCCATTTAAGTCCCTGACTTTTTTTTTCTCTCACTAATTCATGAATGTTGAATGTAGATATTTTTAGAGATTTTGAGAAAAACTGGAACAGAACATTTGTCATAAGCTAATAGAAAAACAATGGGGTTGATTTACTAAGGGCAAATAGACTTTGCAAAAGCATTTGCTCCAACATTTGCTGACTTCCATTATCCAATCATGTGTAAGCCAAAATGCTGTGTTTTTTTTTTTTTCTTGCATGTGATTGGGTAGTGAAGCTTCATCTCATTTACTAAGCTCTGGAGTAAATGCCCTTGCAGAGTGCAACTGCCCTTGTAAAGTGCTCAGTCTATTTGCCTTTCGTAAATCAACCCCAATGTATGAAGGGCAAGGGGTAGTATAAAGATATAAAGTAAAAATATTCAGTTATGGAATTTGAACTCTATGCATTCTAATTGTCTCTCCCTATTACAGGGCTCGGGTGATGTTCTGGACAGACTGGGGCAGGTATCCCAGAATTGAGAGCGCCAGTATGGATGGAACCTTAAGAAAAGTGATTATTTCAGAGAAGATCTATTGGCCCAATGGGCTGACCATTGATTACCCCACACAAAGCGCCTCTATTTTGCTGATGCTTATCTTGATTACATTGACTATTGTGACTACGATGGAAATAACAGGAAGCAGGCTTTAGCTAGTGATTTGGTAAGCTGCATGTTGTATGGGAAAACGAGGGAAAGATTTGATTTGGTAAAGCATGTATAAAGGGAGAATCCAGAGTAGTGATCACATTGGAAGAGAAGAACGTCATTGAAATACGGCACTGCAATGCTCTACAATTTCACAGCATTCATTATGTAATCTGGACAAGAGCAGCTGATAATGATCAATAGGCATCTACCCAGATGTGTGTGCTGAAAATCTACCGAGGAGAATCAGATTTATAGTCTTCGGTTTCTGTAGAGGTGATGAAGATTGTAGCCCCCCACCCCCAAACCATCCTCCTCCCATTTATATGGGTTTTTTTGTGCAAGCAGACTATCAAATTTGTATTCAACGCGGCTTGCACAGCCACATCATTAATTCACAAAGAGTTGTGTATAAAAAAAGCTACAGGTTTGATTTGCTAAAAGCATATAGTGTAGGCTGTTTACAAGGGAAGTAGCACTTTGTAGGGGAATTATCCCCAGTTCTTAGTGAATGAGGTAGAACTTCATTCTTCAAAGAATACCAAATCACATGCAAGGAAAATAAAAAAAACTGCATTTTTGCTTGCACATGATTGGATAATGAAAGTTAGCAGCGTTTCACCTCATTCACTAAGCTCTGGGACAAATTTCCTTGCAAAGTGAACAGTCTTTTTTCCTTTAGTAAATCAATCCCAATATGTCCTACTGTATCTGCCACCACAGCAAAGAATGTGCAGTTCTCAATAGAGCACAAGTGCGGGGACATCACTTGTAGTCCATTGATACTTCCTCAAGCTCTGTAACTGAAGATCCATGCCTCAATACGAACCTGAGCTGCAGGAAGAATCTGCAGGAGCCAGAGCATGGCACCCATACTCCACTGATCATGGTTGCAATGCTTTAAAGACTGAAATGCAAAAAAATAATAAATGCACATTTTTGCTTTTGGTAATATTGGTGCATTTATATTTTTTTGGCAAAATGTGGAATTCTCCTTTAACGCTGATGTTTAATCTGCATATATTATCCCTTCCCTGGTCCCTTCCTGTACCCCCTCAACATGCTAATGCTATTTTTCAATTAAAGCTTTCAGTTTTTATTACATACCTTAATTTTTACTAAGTCTTTACTGGATCTCTGTGCATCACTATGCAGAGTATTGCAAAGTGCTGTATATAGCTTCTTGAAAATATCACAGAACCCGGCCTCAGTACTCAGTTCAAGAGACCTAGGTCCTGATGAAAAATTTTTTTTAATGGTTTACATTTATACATGTATGAATAATTATAGAGCAATACCAGTTTACAGAAAATAATATATTCTACAAACAAGTGTCAAGAATGTGTTAGCTAACTAAATGTTACAATGATAAGGAAAAATTGAGTTCCCTGCAGAATACAAAGGGTGTGATTAAAAATGATGTTTTATTATTAATTTATATTAATTAAAATTTCTATTCTACTGCTGAGCTTTGAGTTCTTCCATGATCACGCTATAATCACATTATCCTAACAGGTCCTACAGCACCCACATGGCCTTACTATATTTGAAGACTATGTTTATTGGAGTGAAAGATACACCAACCGGGTCATTCGTGCCAATAAATGGCATGGTGGCAACCAGACAGTCATGATTTATAATGTAAACCAACCACTGGGGATCTCGGCATTTCACCCAGTAAAAACAGCCTCGAGGTAAAGAATTAGTATAAGTATGGCCATATCTTCAATGGTATGTGTTGAAAGGTTTAAAGTGGATGCTTGTCATGATTATCCTGAAATATATCAAAGTTACAGCAACCTTAGCCAAAGCTTTTTTAATTTGACCAGGCTATCTCCCAACATTTCCTTACAAACCAGGGCTGGACCTAGCCTGTTTGATGTGGGGGTGCAGTAAAAAAAGGTAAAAAAATGTCAGGGGGCAAAGGATGTGAGGTCAGCAGGGCAGTGTATTGGAGTCAGTAGAGCAGTGTACAGGGGTCAGCAGGGCAGGGGACAGGGGTCAGCAGGGCAGAGAACAGGGGTCAACAGAGCAGATGACAGAGGTCAGCAGGATGGAGAACATGTGTTATTAGGGCAGAAGACAGGGCTCAGCAGAGCAGGGTACAAGGGTCAGCAGCAAAGAGGACTGGGTTTACTGGTGGCAGATCACTCAGCAGAGCTCCTACTCCCATCCCCACACTGCACATAGCCTGGGCACTCAACCAATCTCTTCCTTCCCACACAGGACACAGCTAGGATCAGATTCCCTTACAGACAGTCTCAATCTGCCCAGTTTGTAGCTGACTACCGCACCTGTGCTGCCATTCAGATCTGGGAATTTCACAGGTCAGAACTGCAAAATAGCAGCCAGCTATACACTATGCAGATTGAGGCTGTGTCTGTAAGGGATACGATCTAAGTTATGTACTGTGTGGGGAGGAGGAAATCTGTTGAGTGCGCTCTGTGCAGCGCAGGTAATGCTGGGACAAGGTCATCTAGCACCTCGAGTGAAGATGAAAACTGCACCTCTGAAGTGTGAACATCTGTCTCAGCATAAATTCCTCCCCATAAAAAAAAACTGCACTAATTAGTAGACACTCCCCCTAAGCATAAATTCCATCTGCAAGCTAAAATTCTTTCACCCAAAAAATGCAAAAATCCCCCTCCTCCCAGGCTCAAATCCACCCTCCCAGTACAAATATTTGCCCTCCAATCTCGCCTTCCAGCTCAAATTCCACACCAATTCCCCCCTCCTAGCACAAATCTCCATCACCCCCCAAAAATCACCCCTCCTAGCATACATTCTCTTTCCTCTCAAATTTCCCATCCTAGCACAAATAAGCTCCCACAAATTCCCCCCCTCCTATCATAAATCCCCCCAAATTGCACAATCTCCCCCCAGTCTCCCCTATTAGTCCAAATTTCCTCACCCCCTGGCACAAAATTCCCCCCCAATCCCCCCTCACAGCACAAATCCTCTTCCCCCTCCCCAGTCCCCCCTGCTAGAACAAATTCCCCACAATCCCTCCCCTAGCACAAAACCCCCCAACACCCCCTTAGTACAAACCCCCAACACAAAAATTATTCCCAATCCCTTCTGGCTCAATTCCCCCAAACCCCCTCCTAGCAGACATCATTCCTCCCCCCATCCCTCCTTTTAGCCCAAATCCCCCCCCCAATTCCCCCCAATCCCTCCACCTAGCACAACCACCTACAAATTACCTTTCCGAAGACAAATCATCCCTCCCTTCCCAAATCCCCCCTCCTAGCAAAAAATCCCCCCATTAATCCCCCCATCATACCACAACCTCCCAGCACAAACGTTTTCCCCAAATCCCCCCTCTTAGAACAAATTCTCCCCCCAGTCCCTCCCCCTAGCACAACCCCTCCAAATGACCCTTCCCAGGACAAATCCTCCCTCCCTACCCAAAGCCCTCCAGTCACCCCTCCTAGCATAAACCTCCCCCAATACCCCCCTTATTACAACCCCCCCCCCCACCCAGCACATACATTCCTCCCAATCCCCCCTTTTAGCCTAAATTCCCCCACCTCCCTTCTTGCACAATCCCCCCCAAACAAATTCCCCCCAGTCCCTCCCCCTAGCACAACCCCCTACAAATTACCTTACCCAGGACAAATCCTCCCTCCCTACCCAAATCCCCTCTTCTAGCACAAATATCACCCATCTTACTCCAACCTCCCAGCACAAAAAATCCCATCAATCTCCCCTCCTGGCTCAATCCTCCCCAAACCCCCCTCCTAGCACATATCATCCCTCCCCCATTCCTCCTCCTAGTACACATTCCCAAATCTCCTCCAACTCCCCCTTCCTAGCACAAGCTCACCCTCTCTCCCCCCTCACCTTACAAGGGCGGGGGGGACTGCTACAGAGCAAGGAGCAGGTGTGGGTTGTGCCTTCCCCTCTCATCAGAACAGCATTCCTCTGTGTGGCAGATAACACAGGATTGCTCTTCTGTCAGTCTGCACACGTGGTTTGGATTACCCGCTCCCCACCCACGTGTCCTGCTGCCAGGTAGTGAGCAGCCCTTGGAGGACATAGGGAGCAGGTAATCAAACTACATGTGTAGCCCGACAGAAGAGTGATCCTGTGTTATCTTCTACATGGAGGAACGCTGTTCTGATAGGAGGGGAAAGCACAGCACCTGCTACAGAGTCTCTCCTCTCTCTCTGCCACTCCTTTTCGGGCTTTCCCTCCCCTTGTAGATTTGTGCTGAGTGTGGAGCTAGAAGGAAGTAGCCAGGCAAAACATCCATCAGGTGGCTGGCCTGGGGGGGCACAACGGAAATCTGGGAGAGCGTAGCCCACCCCAGCACCCACCTAGATCCTGCCATGTTACAAACCCAGTTGCACACCTGCCAGTATACATGACTGTTCTGTAACTCAGGACTTGTCCACGTTATCTCAAAGTGCAATCAGTGGGGATTTACTAAAACTGGAGTACTCAGAATCTGGTGCAGCTGTGCATGATAGCCAATCAGCTTCTTTTACCAAAGATTGTATTAACCATGTTGAAAGTAACATACAAACAATTTCAAGTCATATGATACAAAGTGATAACACAACAAAAAAAGGGAGACATCATACAACAGACACAGAGATACCCATATAAGACCCACAGTAGGGTCTAAGTAACACTATGTAAGGCATAGGGCCAGTAGGCCCACAACCACATGCAGAGGTATAAGAAATACATAGAATACAAAAAGCAACATAGAGAAGACACATAGAGAGTCACGCCCTCATGAAGCAATGTTGTCTCTAAGAATCACAGACCTGTAAAATAACAACAATAAATGGTAGACAATAGGTCTAATATAAAAAAAAACTATATGGAAGGAAAGAGGTAGATCTAGAGAGGGCCAAGGGGCCAAAAAAAGGAAGACCCACCCCAAACCATAGAAAACAGAAAAACAAAGAAGAGGAAAAGGAACCGAGAAAAGGAAGGAAGAAACAGGCCGGCAGAGAAAATAAGTTTGCCAAGGAGAGGAGAGCCGGAAGACATGATCTGCACATAAGGGAAATGGAGAGGAAAAACCCAACACATCAGGGATTGGAAAGTTTCGTGGTAAAGTGAGAAACTGGATGATAATCCACCCATGGTTGCCAAACAGAGAGCCTATCAGCTTCTAACTTCAGCTTGTTCAATTAGGCTTTGGCAATAAAACCTGGAAGTTCATTGATTTCTATGCAGAGATGCACCAGATTTTGGAGCTGAGCTCTGAGTTGGAGCAAAAATGGGCTTAGTGAAGTTACAGTGAATAAGTACAGTCATAAATCTACAAAGTGATACTTATCTGATTATATATTTTTTTTTCGATGTGCCATTTGAAGAAAATGTAGTAATCAATGGGGGAGATTTATTAAAAGTGGATCATGCAAAATCTGGTGCAGCTCTGCACCAGATTCTGCGAGCTCCAGTTTTTTGTAAATCTTGCCCAATGCATTGGTGTATTCTCACTAAGAAATACAAAATTTCTCCACAGCCACCAGCCAGATGCAAACCTTTATGGCAGGTTTGAATCTGATTGGTGTTTGTTTGGTGACCAGTCCTGAGAAAGAACACAATACATAAGGCTGTAACAGGATCTAGCAAGAACAGCAATAGAACATTGTAACATTTTAGAGACTGTGAGGTTGAAAAAGGTAAATAGGCTGGGTTTTTTTAGCAAAGCAGTTTTCACTTTGCAAGGCAATATCCCTTTGACTTAGTAAATGCAGTAAAAAAAAGTCATTTTACAAAGAATACACAATCACATTTAAGGAAATCAAAACTAAAAAAAAAGCCAACAGCATTTTGCCCTGCACATGATTGGATGGTGGAAGTCACCATATTCACTAATCATTGCACAGTGAACATTCTTTTTGCCTTTAATATATCAACTCAACTTTGTGCTGCTTGTACTAAAAATGGCAGCTCAATAAAGTCCAAAAGGTCTGTAATATTCAATCATGGTTTGGATTTATTAATTATTACACACAATGCAGTCACATCTGGCAGTGAATATTCTTCCATGTGGGAGTACCATAGGGTCGTATACACACAATATCAACCTGTTCATATGATTAGAACAGAAATACTTGTTTTTGGATTTTCAAAACTATTTTCATTGTTTTGGTTGCTCTAAAGTAGTACATTCTATTTAGTTCAATAGTTTATTGCAGCTTGTTGAATGTGTATGTTTTAATGAAATATTTTTCTGAATATAAATTTATATTTTATCACATAGTATTCAGGTCTGTCCTGCTTTTGACTAAAGGCTGAGCATGGTATAATTCTTGTATTGTAAACTAAATTAACAAGCATAAGACGTTGTTCAAAAGGTTTATTTTAATTAAATATTAAAGAAGCTCATTATGTGATATACAATTTCTGTAATTCCAGGTCTGAATCCATGTGCCTCAAACCCCTGCAGCCATCTTTGTTTATTGTCATCAAGTTCCACCAAGTTTTATTCTTGTGCCTGTCCCTCGGGGTGGTCATTAACTGATGATCAGGTGAATTGTCAGAGAGGTAAGAAAACATGGGGCACAAAGGCTGTACTCCCCAAGTTATTGGATCAGTTCACAACATGGTGGTGTTTTGGTAGTGGAACAAATTAATTTTAATCACAAATAATATGAGCATATTGTGTAGCCCTACATAAGGTGAATAGCAGTTTACCTGTGTATAATCTGGTTTGGTAAACGGATGAAGGCAAGGTCACCAATATCAGTATCAGATAATGGATACATGTAATACACACATTTGGGGTCTGTGGAAGTGAGTGCAATCTACCCATAGGCATTGGATAATAGGCTAAAGAAACAGATGATTTTAAAGTGATTGTAAATGCAAGCATGTTTTTAAATAACAAACAGGTTTATACTTACCTGCTGTTTGCAATTGAATTGCACAGAGTGGCCCCGAACCTCCTCTTCTCAGGTCCCCCACCAGCGCTCCTTGCTCCCTTTCTCTGTCAAGTGCCCCTGTAAGAAGCTACTTCCTATGGGGGCACTTATGCGGGATCACTCCCAAGCCCTGCTGCCTGCATCACTGGCTTTTATTGACAGCAGCAGGAGCCAATGGCCCCCACTGTCTCAGCAAAGCCTGTGAGACCAGGAAGTTAGAGGAGAGAAGAGCTGCAGAAAGGCACAGCACTGGATCGAATGAGGGTAAGTATGGGGTGGGGGAGGGATACTATTACCTAAACATTTTTTTAACTTAATGCATGGAATACATTAAGGTAGAAAACATTTAGGGTTTATAACCAGTTTAAGGAACAATCATAGTCATCTCTGAATGCTTTCACATAAGATCTTACTTCAATAACCACCAGCATTAAAATCAGTCTGTAGAACTTGAATTTTTTTAGACATTTTTTAATTCACCAGATTACATTTACATATGCTGCAAATTCTTACAGTAGAAGTTTGCTTTGCTCTGATTTTTGTACCATCTCTGACACTTCTAAGTGAGGACTGGCCACAGCTGACCCAACAACTCCCTACCCAGCCCTGATGTCACTGGTCCTGTCTTGGAGAGTATTCAATGTTCTTACAGAATGCATTATTCTGGTAGAGAAATTTGTTATGGTTTGTCTTTTTTACTGAAAATAGTCTCTGGTCTGTGGCTAATTATAGACAAAGCGCATGCTGTGCTGCTGTACGCAAAAAATTCATAGATGGTACAGATAATGTGCTTCCACCTACCAGTAGCCACTACCTGTCACTACAGAAAAAACCTGCTGGAATATGATTTGTATTTAAAGTATATTTATATATATATATATATATATATATATATATATATTCCTTTTTTTCCCAAAAGATACATCAAACATGCTGTGCAAACAACTCCTCAACACAGCAACAACACAGGACATTGGAATTAAGTATGTCCTGTATATAAGATCAGTGCATTGTATATATGTATATAGTTTGTAACACCCCAGAAATGCATAATTGCTGTTGTGCAATACTCAATAATGTATTTCCATATGAATGCACAATTACTATGCAACAAAGCATGCACTTGCAACCTGAAGTTCAGTATAGCATGATTACGAATACACATATGCCACAATAGGCAAGGAGGTGAATGCCTTAGCATCAAAGAGGGAGACGGATGCTGCATGCTACTAAAAATGTTTTTCATTGCTTTCTCAGTCCCCATAGGTATGATTTTACCTCACCTCCTGCCACAGCAACACCCTGGGACAGAAAGTGAGGTGAAATCTCCCCTGTGGGGACATAGACAGCAGTATAAACCTGATAGAGGTTCTTAACATTCACCACTCTATCCAAAACTAATAAAAACTGAGATTTATGTTGAATTGTTTATTTAGGAATACAATATAAAATTGTAATATGTTACTGTATGTATGATGTACAATTAAGAGTATATGTATAAAATACATATGACATTTAAGTATGTAATTTTATAGGCAGTTTTTTAATAAATCATTTTCTCTGTGTTTTAAGCTCCAAGTTTAATACCGGAAATACAAATACAAAGCTTTAAGCTATCTGCTAGCATCAGAGCCTCTTCTACATTCTTAGTACTTCAAAAGTGTCCAGAAGCTTAAAGTGGGAGCTTTATAATACAATCATGTCTTGTTCTTCTGCTGATACCATCTGGCAGACTGTCAGCGAACAGCTTGGTGCTTCTTTGTAGTGGAAGGAGGTGGTAGATAGAGGTTAGGGTTTTCATCATTGGGCTGCATGGATTTAAAGAGTACAGAAGAAAGTTAGTTGTAGTACTTGTTATTAAAGAACATACAGAAAACCGACAATCAGCAAAGGATAATTAACCTACCTGTTGAAATTTGGAAATATGGGTCATTTCATGTGAACTTTGTCTTATTTTGATATTATCGGAACAGGACCACAAAATAATGTTAAATAGTCTTGTGTTATAGTGACCAGGGGCGGACTGACAACTCATGGGGCCCCCAGGCAATAGGGGATCATGTTTACTGGACTACACTTCTGCTTGATTCCTACCTGCTTGTTTTAAGTTTAGAATGCATAATTGAATAGCTTTTTTTTAACCAGACTGTAGTTTCGCTCACTTTCAAACAACTGAGACTGATATTGGTGACCTTGCCTTCTGAAAATACTAATTGCCTGGCTGTCATGCTGATCCTCTGTTTCAATATTTGAGCCTCTGACTTGAAACAAGCAGATACAGACTTTCCTCTGATTTTCTAGAGCTGTATACTTGTTAGTTACTCAGAGTTATAAAGTCAGTAGGTCTGTATATACTGGTTGTAAATCTAGCTTTTTAGAAAGGGCTTCAACTGGCTCATAGGGATTTGTAGGTCAACAACAGGAAGATTTAAATGCCTCTTTAGGAAAGTCTTTAAATGCATCTTCAATTTCTGTTCCTGGATACGATGGAGAAATGAGTCCCGCAGGGTTTATTATATGATTGTCTGATGCATGGCATTCTAGCCATTTACAGTATATCTAAAGTATGAGGTTGGGGGGGGTTGAGCAGCACTGTGTGTGTCTATAGACACATGCAGCACAGCTCGGGAACAGGTCAGCAGGTATGCCTCAATAGCAGATGGTTTGCTATGGGGGCACACAGAGAAGAGGAGGAGCCTGGATCATATATGAGGGACCCCAGGAGAGGAGGTTCGGGGCTGCTCTGTGCAAAACCAGTACACAGAGCAGGTATGAATAACATGTTTGTTATTTTTAATAAAAAAAAATTCTAGGCTTTACAATCACTTTAAATTGTGCCTTGTGTAATGAGTAATTCACACTTTCTAACACCTGTGTTGTGAAAACTTCCCTCTCTCTACCTCTGTTTGAATTTGTTTGGTGGATACTTTCTGATATTGACATTCATTTCACATTAGGCTTTCTGTATGTGAGAAGATAGCAAGGAGGCTTCAGTGGGTGTTTTTGAGAATTTTTCAGATGCATCATAAACTTGGGTTCTCACATCACCCCCTGACTTACAAGACGAATTCAAATAGGTCCTACTAAAGAGATTCCTATAAGTTGATAGAGGACCTTGTTGAATTTTTTTTTTAAATTGTAGGTTTATGGGCTTCCCAGTAAGGTGGACCTGGACATATTGTAACAATAGTGGAAAGAATTAATAAGTACATTAGGCTAAAGATTCTTCTAACTTCTTCCCAAAATGTTACCAGCTCTCTAACCCATATCAATATCTTTTAATATCTTTAAAGCCTAACTCCATGTTTTAGTGAACTTGAAATAGTCCCTATATCCTTCACTAACAGATGAAACAGCCGTGTGCTCTGTATAAACTGTATGTAGCCTCAGCTAAACAGTGTGATGTTCAAGCAGCAGGACGAGAACATCACAACCAGGATATTCAGGTTGAGTTGAGCTCTGAATGAATACAAAGCTTCCCCTGATTGGCTGAGGCAGATATTGTGACATCATCTGCCCGCCTCTTTGCTTCAGCCATTCAGAGGAAGCCTTTTATTTATTCAGAAAATACAAAGATATACAAAGCTTCCTGGGAATGGCTAACCAGCGCTCCGCCCAACTCGGTTTTGTTCTAGGAACAGGACAAGAAGTTCCCGCCCTGCTGCAATAACACAGTGAAGTGAAAACTTTGTTTGTACCATACAAACTATTTAAAGTTCACTAAAACTTGGAGTTAGGCTTTAATAAGAAATTTGGTCTGTTGTCCATGCCCGTCAATTAAAAATGAGCTTTGATCCTCCTTTCCACATGTTATATCCCTTTAAGGACCCTAAAAGTACAGAAAATTCCTGTTGATCTGCCAGAAATGCACTCAGCTCCAAAGTTTTGTTGTGAACTGACAGCACACATAATTTTTGTGGTGTCAGCCCTGCCCTGTTGTCTTTTGCTAAACCTCCTAAACACTACCATTCTTCTATTCTTTGCAAGACAACCTTGAATTTTTGACTTAATGAACAGCCTTATTATTGCACTTATTTTATTGCACTTATTTAAATGATATATTTAACAGCCCCAAAAGGTAGCTAAGAAAAGTTCATTGTTAGGGTTTACATACATTCAACATTTTTGCTTCTGTTTTTGTTAAAAAAAATCATTAGTATACTCTTGTCTGTACATATAGACCTCTAAATGCTGGATGATTAGTTTATTGCTGATCAATTTGCTCAGGAAGACTTATTCCAAGACCACCATCATTCCCCAAGTATCTATATCTATAGACTCTCCAAAACGTACAGTTTTTCAATGAATGAAAGGCAGCTCTCACGCCATAGAGATGGTATCACTAGTTGATTTATTTGTGAAAGATTTTAATTATTACTAATGGTTAAAAAAAAAGGCTTTGCTCAGTCTTCTGAGACTTATTATGAAACTAATCCCCGATGACAGTGTTATTTTTGCCTGGCAGCACAAACTTTCAGCACATAGATTAAATTTTGGTATGCTCATTCTTAACCATTGTCTTCATTTCAACATAGCAATATAGAGTACCTTGACATCTGATATTATCTCAACTAGA